TTTAGGGCAAGTCTTTCCGAAAAGTATGAGGCTCTCTCCAGCTTAATCGTGGCCAGTTAACCCTTCGCGTGTAGAAACAATGAATCATCTTCATCCCTTATGCAAAAGAGAAAACAAGACACCACTTGGGCACCTTGTCTCAGAACATTCATGCGTTCTGAGACTTATTCCAATAAGTTTCAGCACAAAAAAAAGTAATGTTAGTTTTATGTTAGAGGGTGTTTGCATTGTAGGGAGTGGGATTGGCTAGAGAGGAAAATGTTAGGATTTCATCTGTAATGTAGTCCTCGCTGACCAAGAAAGAACAGAAAAGAAAATGAGCGAGTGGCAATTTGGACATCTCAGAAGCATCTTCTTATCAAGCACACATTGAGGGACAAGCCTGGAGACAAATGGAACGCAAAGTGATTGTTAGGCTGTACAATTCCCACACAAATGATTTATGGCGTCCACTCAGCCATTGTGATGACAGAAAGCCTGGTCTTTATTCGTAAATGATACATATGTACAGCGAAGGCTGTGTCTGCTGTTACCCACCAATATGGAAATAGTTTAAAACTCAGCAGTAATCCTTTTATGTTGCCTCTAGTGTAACTCAAACCTCTCCAGAAATATTGCCTTCCCCCCCCCCGTATAGAAATCCTTTCCATTGTTTCAGACACGGTGGCTTGGCACGATGGAAGCTGTAGTCCAAAATACAAGTTAGAGACAGATAGTTAACTGTCAATTAGACTCTAAAACTGAGTTCCATTGGTCCAAGCTGACATGGGGTTGAGTTTTTGTTGGTCAGCCAATTACCAAGTCATTGGCACTAGACCATCTCCATTAATCCATAATTTTATTTACTTATTTGGGCATAGCATGTTATAGAACTTGCGTTTAGATCAGTGTTTCTCAGCCTTGACAATTTTAAGGCATGTGGACTTCAACTCCCAGAATTCCCCAGCCAGCAATGCTGGCTGTGAAATTCTGGGAGTTGAAGTCCACATGCCTTAAAATTGTCAAGGTTGGGAAACACTGGTTTAGATAAACCAAATGTTAGAAAATAGTGCACTGTGAGAACCCGGACTCAATTAACAATCCACATCTGCCAGCTTTACTTAAGCGGATATCTATTATTCACAGCCACTGATAAGCTCAGGATACTGGAGAGGGAATAGTGCCATCTCTATCAGCCAGCATTAATTATGTCCCCGTTTACATACAACCGCTCTCCATACAACTTCCACGTTGGCTTTTTCTATATACGATAACTGGCACTCGCTTTTCTTATTGGTATTGAGTACATGAGAAGGAGGGGGGGGGAGACATCTACATTACCTGTTCCCTGTGCTGGTTAATGGCCGCAATAAAGTTATCTATTATCTGTTCCTTGAACCAGTCAATGTCGGGTAAAGAACGCAATTCTAGCCACTGCGCTGGAAAAAAAAATGTGCAAAGGTTCCCTTAGTTTTCTATGGAATAGATTTCTATTGCATCGCTCCGTAGGAAGGAACGTCCAGTTAAGCTGCTTGCCAGTTCTAGGGGCAACTTAACTCAGGCTTTAAGGTGCCCAAGATGCCATTGATTTCAACGAAGTAGGATGAGAAAGCCTGCTCAATTCTCGGACTTGACCTCGGGAAAATTGGCTCTAATTTCCAGCTCGGTTCGAAAGGCAGAAACCGGTTTTGTGCTGAGGAAGTGTGAGTGGAGCTTAGTTTTACCTCCAGTTCAAGCACGGGATTCTTCAGCGATCCCAAAGTATGGCAATAATTTATTTATGTTTTTTTTTTTTCTATTACGGCTTGCGCGACGCACCATGCCCGCAATCGCCCCTAATGGCGTTAATTCGGTTTATAGAAAAAGCCGAAGCTTTCTTGGAAGGAGTCAGATCAAGGGGTTTTGGCGAATCATATACACCCAGATAAATATCTGAGGTTTCCTCGGATTTCTCAAAGAAACAGAGACCTCACAGGGAGGATGAACGGGCTCCCGACTTGCAGATTCAGTTTTCTGGAAGGTTTAGCCTCGCGCAGAACCTCTTTAGGGGACGCAGAATGGAGAAGGGCTCCACTAGCGAGGAGAACATCCTAGCTGGCTCAGCTTCCCCCTTTTTTTCCCCCCTGCATAAACTTGAGATAAAATCTTGCGATTCTCCCAAGAGAATCGGCCGGGGGCAGAAACCCGGCCCAGGTGTAGACTTCAGAGCAGGTTCGCTTGCGCCAAAGCTGGAGGCCGGCTTCTCTGGGGATATCTTGCTTCCGTGAATTTTTTGACAAACTCTCGTCGGGACACAAAGCAGACACGTGGCGCCGTGTGCGGTCGGCCTCGCCGTCGCCACTGGGCCAGGGCTACAAACTCAGAACGGCTGGATCCCTAAAAGACCAGGACTGAATTCTGCACTAACAGCTGTGGAGGGGGTGTCTCTCTCTCTCTCTCTCTCTCTCTCTCTCTCTCTCTCTCTCTCTCTCTCTCTCTCCCCGACCCCTCCGCCCGCCTCCCTGTTGGAACGGTTTGGAATCTCACGGCAGCACACACAAAGAGTACGCGTAGTACAAAAGAGTACGAGGGATCAAGAAAAATAGCCTTATGCAAAATGTAGACTTTTAACTAGTCACCAACTCTTGTTTTTTTTTTTTTTTAAAACAACAACAACAACAACAGATCAGGTAACCTCCGTATCCGGGTACATACGATGCTGAAAATTATCCCCAACCTTAAGCACCGTTCTCAGACTGAAGGTCTAGCGCGGCCCTTTCGGATGTAATCAGTCGATCAGATCTTGAAGGCGCTTTGTTGGGAAAGCTGTATGAATGTCAATATAAGGCCATCGATTGGTAGAAAGATTGGGAAGGCAGAACCAAGCTTCCCCCCCCCCACCACCCACCCACACCAATATTGCAAGGCAAAAACCCGATGAAAGAATTTACACGCCGCGTTTTGTTCTACTTCCGAGGGGGGCGGACAGGAGTGGAGCGGACAGAAGGGGCGTTTGGAGCCTTCTCCGGCAGCTGCTGTTTGTCCGAGACTAAAAAGGCTGCCTGCCTCGGGGGCGACGTACTTCAGCTCCAGCTGAAGAGCCCCGGGGGACGGGCTTTCTCCTCCGAACTGAAGCGCCTGCTCTCTCGCTCCCGTGTAAGCTACAAGGGGAAACGAATGAGAAACGGCTCAGCCGAAGGCCTCGCCCGCTCCTCTCGGTCTGGGGGCGGCCAGCTTTTTTTTTAGCGAGGCTAGAAATCAGCTCTGCTCTAGGCAGCGGGACTTGCATCTGGGCCATCTAGAGACACTGAGCCAAATCGCCAAGGTCGGAGATCAAACCGACAGCCTATCTAGACTCTTTCTGATGGGCGACATTTCTGAAGAAGTCCCCCACAGCCCAGAAGAGGGAGTACCTTCCAATGACTTTCAAGGGAGTCTACTTCCAGCGCGCAGCTCCTAAAGTAATGAGCAAATAGGAATTTCGGGGGGATTTAAAAGTAATCCGCTTCAAAAGTTGGGGGGGGAGGCGAGTTCCAACTCTCCTTGGCTATGATATTTTCAACACATATTGCTAGTCCGTGTATAATATTCCCGGACGTTAAATAAATTAATTTCAACACATACATATTTGCACGGTGCTTTCAAGGGGCGACGCCAATGCTGCTGACTTGCTCGTTTGCATTCAGATACCCCGCTTCTTATCCTTCGGCATCCTTTCCTGCACGGAAGCTGCTGATTGGGGGGCTTGGTATGCCCTTGTATTACAGGTTTCTGGAATTAGAAAGACAACTCTTCCGGAGAAAACAGCAATCCTGCGGATATGACTGTAATCAAATCGACTCATACTCCCAATACTGGTCCTGAGCAATAAAACGCTTCAAGTAGGACGAGAATAACTCGAGTTCAGATCCTGGATCGCAAACGTCAAGGGTATCTTTGGAGCCGGACGTTCTCCTTCAGTCCTTTCAGCATCCCATAGGAAAAAATGGAAAGGACATTTTCGTGCTCTTTCCGGGAAAGGCCGCTCTCAAATGGGAATAAATAAAATGCTTTCTAGTGCCAGGCTTCCATCTCCCATAGATGTCACCTGGTTCCGGGTGAAAGCCGCCTGCTTTTGAAAGAAAGAATTCGCTTTATGTTTACATGCAACAGGGCTGTTGAAGTCCTGCAGAGACAACGGGTCCTTTAAATTCATTCGCTTAACTGGGTTAGCAATCGCACCGGGTTATGGACGGAAAAAGTGCAACATACGAGTTCTAGAGAAGAGCACGATTTAATAGAGACGGCCGAATGGGAACCGTTTGTGAATCGTGGCCATGTGTTTCGCGCATGGCCTCGAAGTAACCGAGCGAAACATAAAAGTTAACGAGGATGGTGGGAAGTGAGAAGAAGGGTGTTTGCAAAAATGCAGTCGGATTGACCGACGCTCGGGATTAGGAGGCGTAGCGAGAAAAGTTGAAAGGCGGCAGAAGTGCTTATAGGAGATTTCTGTTGCAGCAGAGAGCCATCACTTTTTGGAGGGGCTCAGATTTGACCCCGGCCATTTAGTGGTCCGCCTCATGAAGAGGGCAAGAGGGCGTGGGCCGGCCCGGGCTTGAGAAGACTTCTGCCAAAATAAAAAAAATAAAAATCCTGAGCGCCGGACCGGCTGGTCAAGCAAGCCTACGGCAACCAAGAGGCCGAGGGAGGGAGGGAGGGAGGAAGCGGAGCGCGAGGGTGCGCGCGGCGGCGCTCGGAGCGGGGCTGTCCGGGCTTCGCAGTCCAGGAGCGCGAGCGGCGGGTCTGTTTGCGCGCGCCAACACGTGACGCGCTGTCCGCGCTATAAAGGCTCCTGGCACTCGCCCGGGCGGCTCAGTGCCTGCGCGACGTTCCGGCCGGCGTGAGCTTCGCGCGAAGGCGGTGGCTTTCCCCACCCTTTCTGTCCCGTCCCCCCATCCTTTCGCTCCCTCCCTGTCCCTGTCCCCGCCCGGGGCCACCCGCCACCCCTGGCCCAGTCCCCTCCCCTCCCCTCCCGCCACTCCCCCTCTGCCCCCTCCCCCGGTCGCTCTGCCCTCCGGAAAGGAGAGAAGCGCCGAGGAGCGCCTGTTGCTCTCGGCCCGGCCTCCTCCGACTCCTCCCTCGCTCCGCCGCTAGGGGGTGGCCTAGCCGAGCAGCCCGACCCGGAGGCAGAAGCAGTCGGCCAGAGCAGCGGCGGCGGCGGCACCATCATGACCCTGGGCTGCAGCAGCGGGAGCAGCCGGCCCTGTGGCTTGCTGGCGGCCCCCTCGCCGGAGGAGGACGAGGAGGACGAGGCCCTGTCCGACCTGGAGGATGCCGACATCGACGTGGTGGGCCCCCCCCACGAGCACGGGCAAGCCAAGTTCAGCGAGGAGGAGGAGGAGGAGGAGGAAGAGGAAGAGGACGAGCTGCGCCTCCTCCCCAAACAGGCGGTGCGGGTGAGGCTGTCCCCAGTCCAGCGAGGAGGCCCGGAGGCCACGCTGGGCGACAACCACGTCGCTGCAGCGGCTCCGGCGTCGGCTCCGGCGGGGTCGGCGGCCGCCCCGGTGTCCGCCTCGTCCTCGTCCTCGTCGGGCGGCGCTTCGGGGGCCGGCAAAAACCCCCTGGTGAAGCCGCCCTACTCCTACATCGCGCTCATCACCATGGCCATCTTGCAGAGCCCCAAGAAGCGGCTGACGCTGAGCGAGATCTGCGAGTTCATCAGCGGCCGCTTCCCCTACTACCGCGAGAAGTTCCCGGCCTGGCAGAACTCCATCCGCCACAACCTGTCGCTCAACGACTGTTTCGTCAAGATCCCTCGCGAGCCGGGCAACCCGGGGAAGGGCAACTACTGGACTCTGGACCCGGAGTCCGCGGACATGTTCGACAACGGCTCCTTCCTGCGCCGGAGGAAGCGCTTCAAGAGGCAGCAGCAGCAGCTCCACCCGCAGCCGCCGGAGCTCCTCTTGCGCGCCGCCGCCGCCGCCGCCGACTCGGCGGCTTTCCTGCCGGGTTTCGCCTACGGACCTTATGGCTACAACTACGGGCTGCAGCTGCAGAGTTTCCACCATCACCACCACCACCACCACCACCCGGTGGCCGCCGGCGGAGGGACGGCGGGGACTTTTTCCTTCCAGACTTCGTCCTGCACCCTGCCTCCGCCGCCGCCGGGCCCTGGGGCCACGACCACCGGCCCGTCCGTCTTCTCCGGCGGACTCTCCTCTTTCCTGGGAGGCGACCTAAGTTGCAGGAAAGCTTTCTACCCGGCGGGGCAGCTTAGCCCTACCGCCTCCCTCCTCCAGAGCCTCAAGGCGGATCAGGGAGCAGGCAACAGGCCTTCTTTTTCCATAGACAATATCATCGGGGGCGGCGGCGGCGGCGGCGGCGGCGGCGCGGCCCCTCCGCCTTCCAGTAGCTCCACGGTCAGCGCAACAGATTCGCCCTTCCCGGCGGGCCATGCCGGGAGCCAAGCGCAGGTCCTGGCTATGTTGTCTCCAGCTCTGACTCCCTTACCGAACCATTTGAGCCTCACCCACGAATCACTCCTGCAATCGGGACAAAACTTTTCCAGTAAACTCACAAACCTCAACAACTGCCCTTTTTAAAGGCAGCCACAGTGACCCCCTTCCCAATCAACAACACCCCCCTCCTATCTATCTCTCCCCCTATTGCCCTCCCTTTGTGTTTTGAAAGGTAGGAATTTTTTTTTTTTTTTTGGTGACTGGCATCTGGATCGTTTTGTGTGTGTGTGTGTGTGCGTGCGTGCGCGCGCGCGCGCGCGTTTGTATATCTTCTCCGGGATTGTGGTTTAGCAAATGGCGGGGGTATGTGAGTAGGGGGAGAGAAAACTGTTGAGCCAAAAGACCTATTTAAAATGAAATGAAATGAAGTGATTTCTGACAACTTGGGGGGGGGGAAGCAAAAGTAAAATCATTTCATTAGGGCTGCAGTCCTAAGCTGCCCAAGTGGTGCTTTTTTAAGTTGGATTCATTGGAATGCCCTGGATCCATTGGCAGCTCGGTTATTCTGGGGTAACTGCCTTACACTCTGTAAAGTTACTCCATTCAATTTAAGTCTCCCAGAGTGGGGTCCTTTGTGCAGTAGAATGCAGATTTCCCAGGCAATTGGTTTGAAGAAAGGTCTGTTCCAAGCATATAACTTTGCTGCTGATAATGGTGTGTTTTAATACATGCTTTTTGGAGGGCAAAACGCATTGCATTCTGTACCTGCTCCCAGGTGTGCCTCGGATAGCAACCTTAGTGTGTGTCTTTGTGTGTGGGGATGCACTTGTGAGACTTTGCATTTAAACTGTTTCTCCCCCCCCCAATGGTCCTAATTGTCTGTATTTTCCCATTTTTGAAGGAAGGTTTTAAAAATTTCCTTTGGGCATCCTTAAAGGTTCAATGTTTCCTAAAAATGTATAAATCAATTTATGTTTTTACAGGAGATTTGAAATAGGTATCTCAATACATATTTCTAAAGATTAGGCCATATCAGCAAATCCTGTATTATCGAAACTCCCGCCTCTCTTCCCCTTCAGTGTGTGTGTGTGTGTGTGTGTGTGTGTGTGTGTGCGTGCGCGCGCGCACGCGCGTGCGAGCTCACGCATGTGTGTATGTGTGATCAGTGTATCCAGACTCCTTGGCGTGTATACATTGTGCACCAGAGCTACTTCGCTCTCTTCCCACTAGTTGTGTTTCCCTATTTTATTGAAAGAATTGTGAACAATTAGATGTGGAAAAGGCAACAAGGTTTTTTTTGTCCGCCTCCGCTGTAAATTAATAAATGTCTGTGAACTCTCTTAAAAGGAACCCAGTGGGTCTTGCTACTTGCTTTTGTAGTTTTCTTTTTTTAAATTTTTTTTTATTATGTTAGTATTGGATCTTTGAAAGTGAAAAAAACCTGCAGAGTGGGCAAATTTATTTGGGTAACGTTAAAAGGGCAATGTTAAAAGCAGCACCTTCAACTTTGCAGTAGAAAAGGCAAGCCACTCTCTAAATTTAAGAGGCCCCACTCCCAGACCCCCTAAAGGCTTCCTTCTGAGCAGAGGTACATATTGGATTGTACACTTTGTATATCAACCCATCATAATCCAGGTCTTAAAATATATATATCTTGGATTGATGTACTAGACTACAGAAAACAAAGCTAGGGTTCAGCTGCTGTTTTGAGCGGAAATATGATCTATTCTATACAATAAATGTTTCCCATTAAGTAGAACAAGATAAAGTGAGCCAGATAAATATTTGTAGGCTACCAATGAAACCTAGATTTTCCAACCAGATTAGAACTTTTGCTTCCTTGCCTATTAATGAACTTTTAAATTAGTTTACTGCTACTGCGCCTTCTAGGTCTTTTAAAGTTGGCTTGTAAACCTAAAATATTTTTATTTATAAGAAATTGTGGCATAATTTTTTGAGGTCACACGTGGCAATTAAGCTCTTGTTTCCCAAAATTACTTGAAGTTCCCAGGCGGTTCTGACTTAATAGACTTAAAACTGTACTCCCACTCCCCTATTTTGTTTTAGCTGGAAATCTTGACACATGGGAGGAGGAGGGGTAGTGATCGTGGAGAAGGAAAAATGTAAGTTTGTTCTTTCTGAGCCGAAAAGGGTTGAAGTGACCATTTGAAATCCGAGAACTCTAAATTTGTGAGTGAAAAAAGGCACAAAATAAACAGACTCTTTCTTAGCCAACCGATGCCCTGAAATCTCTTTATATTTTGGGCAGATTGAAAAATGTGGGGCTTTGTTTGAACAAAATGCTCCCCTAATCTCTCAGGCAGCAATGTCAGGTTTTTTTAAAAAAATCATTATCGAATGACCCTGAATAAGTGAATAAACCAACCCACTCACCCCTCCCTCTAATTTAAAATATTCATTTACTGGCTTTTTTGTGGCTCTAATAGATTCTCCCCTGGAGAGGAGTCGGTGAAGGCAGAGGTAAATGAGGAGAAGTTGGTGGGTGGGTGGCTTTCTATCTGGGGAGGGAGGAAATTAACAGAAGAGAGACAATTCTTGTAGCATTTTCCATCTGTCTCTCAATGCAGAAGCGACCCCCTCCTTGCCAGCCTTCCCAAGTTTGTTGATGTTGTTCCTTGAAAAGAGTCTGGCCCTCCACGCTGGCCCAGCCAGAGGTCTTAGTCTCCCCCACCCCGCATTTGCTTTTGAAAAGGGACCCCCTGTCAGACACTTGGTCCTTGCCTTTCATGTCCAGTCCCCACAAAGAGGCTACAAGGCAAGACATGGAAAGGTGTTGGGAGGGGGCGAAAAGAGAGGCAAAATGAATCTATTTTCCAGATTGCTGAGCACATGGTTACAAATGGAAAGAGCTTTGGGATTTTTTCTGTTAATTTAGAAAGGGGGGGGCTTCTCTCTCTCTCTCTCTCTCTCTCTCTCTCTCTCTCTCTCTCTCTCTCTCTCCCTCCCTCCCTCCCTCTCCCTCTCTCCTCTCTCCACTCTAGCTCTCTCCCCCACCCCTCCAATCTATCCAAATTGTAAACTACTGTGCCAAACACTGTCCATGGAGAGTTCTGGGCACCCATTTCCAGTTGAATTCTGGAAAATGGGAGAAGCAAACAGCTCTGAAGTTTTTAACTTCTGTGTGTGTGTGTGTGAGAGAGAGAGAGAGAGAGAGAAAGAGAGAGGGAGAGGGAGAGAGAGACTAGGCTGTAAAAAAAGGGAGTGAGAATAAGAAAGCCTTCAGCACAAGCGCCCCATTTTGGAGAATAGTTAAAAATTAGGGCTGCAGCTGGTAGGGAAGTGCAGTTAGGATTCATCGAGCATGTAAAATCAATTCCAAGCCCTATATTGTACGTAGATTTATTCTTTTGAGTAAAACAAGAAAAGCGGTGAGGTCCGCTGAAGTGCTCGGCTTTCTGCTTTTCGACAAACCCGACCTTAAAAGGCTTAAACTTTCAAATAAACCGCATTGAATCGTAGCGGCGGTAAGCTTCCTTGGAAACAAATCCCACCGAAACCTAGGGGAAGGGGGTCGGCAGCAATCCTAGCCACGTTAACACTACCTCCCAGATTCACTAAAGACGGTACCTGCGATTGCAGCTTCCTCAGGGGTGTCACGATTTGTTTCCGTTTGTATTGGGTACTCGTTGCCAAGCTTACGGCCGAAGCAGCCGCGGTTCCCTGCAGAATGGAAGTGATCTCCGACCTTTCCTGTCCGAAAATTCGGAAGTGTTTCCTAAGGGAGTTAGTTCCACAGACCTGGCGTGGAGAGGCTATACTAGGGCGCGCGCCCGCGTTTGATGCAGTGTTGGGAGAGCTACGGAAACTAAAACTTGCTGTCCCCTTTCAAAAACAGGAGAAGGGCTAAAAAATTTTTTACAGTGTTTCTCAACCTTGACCATTTTAAGGCATGTGGACTTCAACTCCCAGAATTCCACAGCCAGCAATGCTGGCTGTGGAATTCTGGGAGTTGAAGTTCACATGCCTTAAAATGGTCAAGGTTGAGAAACACTGGGCTAAAAGATCTATCTGTGGCGTCTAAGCTGCTTATTTCGGAACGCAGAGCTTCGGTCCGCAGCTGTTGCCGAAGTAAGGTGGCTGGAAAGCTGACTGCAGCACTGAGATCCTGACTGCAGCACTGAGTCTCTGGCAAAACTACAGGCCACGAACGCCTCTGGCTTCTCGTTGCTTTGTCCCTTCTGCTTGAAAGGAACGTGTTGAGTTGCGCTATAGAAAAGTCTAGAGTCTAACTCACTTGGGATCTTGAGACGGTGCAGACAGCGCTGTTTTTATCTTAGGGATAGAATGGTGTTGATTCCCTCCCCGCCTCTCCATTCCCGAATCTGGCATTTTCATAGAAGCTATTTTTTTTTTTTTTTTTAAAAATCCATTGTTAAAGAGGGAAGGCAAGGTTTGCGTAGGGATGGGGGGGGGAGGTGGGCTTTAGTTGGATCCATGGCCTTCAGTTGGAATCGGATCACAATCCAAATGTAGTCAGGAGGATCTGTAATTTTTTCCCCCTGCTGGAGTTTTTAATCGCATCTCAGCGCCTCCTTTTGATGCGGGAGCTGCTGAGTCAGCCCAAAACAGGCTCTGAGGATCCTATTCCTCCCTAAAGCTGGGCCTTGTCTACCAAAACGCCACTTAGTGGAGTGCTTCTAATGTCTTCTCCCCCCCTCCCTCCTTCTCTCTCCCTCTCCCTCTCTCTTTAAAAAAAGTAAGAAAGGAGGACATCTGGAACTTGTCATTGTGGAGGCACTCGTTAGCAGCCTGTTTTCCCTGGGGCAGAAAGAGGAAGTGATTTTATGAAGGACTGACGCGTGTCTTGATTCTTGCGTGATGGGCTTTCCCCCCCTCTCTTTATTTTCTCCTCAGTGGTTCAATTCAAGTGTCGCGGAGGTTTCTGCAGTCAGGAGGTCCCATTGACCTAAAAAACCAGAAACTCCTTCCCAGTGAGGGGACTTGTCCAGGAAGAGAAATAGCTTTGCATCTCTCCTAGGCAAACAACAATAGTTTGGCGTTTACAAGGGTAATAAGGAAGAAGGGAAGGAAGCCATGCGTCTCTCCCCCCCCCCCGTCCAAATTGGTTTTGAACTCTTTCCTCCCACTCCATCTGAACGTAAGCCAGGACAGAATGCTTGGGGGGGGGGGGAGACTGTTTTCCTAGGGGGTCCTCAGATAATGGCATCTGCCCGAAAAAATAATTTTTTTTTTTTTGTGGAGCACAGGTTCACCATTGGAGGCTTGAGGTGAGAATTTTAAGAAAATGGACCTCCCTTTTGTACTTATAGCAAGAGGCGACACACCCTTTGTTTCACTTAGAGCAGTGTTTCCCAAACTTGACAATTTTAAGGAATGAGGACTTCAACTCCCAGAATTCCACAGCCAGCGTTGCTGGCTGTGGAATTCTGGGAGTTGAAGTCCTCATTCCTTAAAATTGTCAAGTTTGGGAAACACTGACTTAGAGAGATGGTTGGAAAGCTTACTGGACAAGAAAGCTTCATTTGAGAACCTGGTCCATTATTGGTCCATCTCCAGAATGGTAACAGAGAAGTTTTACCGATGGGAAGCCTCCGGTGAAGCGTTTGATCTGCAGCCTCGAAAGCAAAGCAAAGCAAAACAAAACAAAAAAGTCTGATTTTCACCTGCTTGGCCTCAGAGGACCCAAGTCCTTTCATTCGTAGCAAGCCTTGAACCAAAGTCAGGTTGCGGACCTGGGCAGAGCCCGTTTTTGACGGAAGTTAGAACAGCCCCAGCTGAGTTGTTTTCCAAAGAGCAGGGTACAAATTAACTGTGCAGGTTCGGTATGTGGTGCAAACCCAGGAGAATATATATATATATATATATATATATATATATATATATATATATATGTGTGTGTGTGTGTGTGTGTGTGTGTGTGTGTGTGTGTGTGTGTGTGGTGTGGTGTGGTGTGTGTGTGGGTGTGTGTGTGTGTGTGTGTTTTCTGAGGTTTTCGCGGGTGTTTGTATGTAGGTCTTTGGTTGTTCGGGTTTTCTCCCATTCGTCATCTTCAGGCTGGTGTTTTCAGCTGCTCGAAGCACGAAGCTGAAAACACCAGCCTGAAGATGACGAATGGGACTTCGTCGAAACGTCGCCAAGACACTTCCAATTTTACGCGGGAGAAAACCCGAACAACCAAAGACCTATATATATAGATAGAACAAGCTAGGATTTAGTTAACCAAGGATTTAATTCGCTAAGCAAGCCAGATTGAAATGAACCCCATTCCCACGTCAGCGGGATGGAGTGTAATGTGAGCCAGCCAGGTGCTTTCCAAACTCTTGGGGCTGCAGAATTCTACCCTTGCCGGCTAGATGAGTGGGGT